GGAAGTCTGCAGTTTGCGATCATATCCTAGACGGCCCCAACCATTACATCAGATTTGATAGACCACAAATCCTCACGAAAGAACACCGATTCCTACCAAGGATGATACGTGAGGCTATTGAAATTAAAAAACATCCTAATTTCAATAGAGAAGGAGGCTGGGTACTACCACCTGCTTGGGATCCTATAATCAATAAAATTAAAACTAAACCCAAGCATACCACTGCAAGAACCTCAGGACATAGTCAGTCCATTTTGCATAGATTGGACCATAAACAATAATTAAAAAAAAAGCTGAAGGTACTCCGGGTTTAACAATGACATCAGGACGTCAAACATCTCAGTCTGACCATGGGTGCTGAAATCACCCGAAACGTCGGGAATTAAAAATCAGTTAATTAAACGCGATAAAATCCGTATAGGTAAATAGTTTTATACAATGTGTAGTGTTCGCGAAAATATAAGAAATCATTATGTTAAGAGAATCGTTCGAGGCACAAATATTTCATAATCTTCTAGAATTTTATAAATAAACGGAATTAAAAAGGAATTAAGCAAATTGAATTTTCATTATACTTCTAAGGTCGTACTTATGAATCTGTTAATAAATGAATAATATTTTTTTTTCTTCTGTTCTTATTTTAACGTTACCCTCACATTTTTATGTGGTAGAGCCATGCTGCAGCTATATTATGGTTGCAGCACGAATGGATCGGCTCGTCCAGGGAAGGAACACGCTCTCACAGAATACCAGCGTCAATTCTTTTTTTTTATATAGAATAGGGTGACAAACGAGCACACAGTCCACCTGATGGTAAGTGGTTGCTGCGGCCCATAGACATCTACATCTATCCTCCATTAAAAATCAAAATGCAGATGCGTTGTCACCCGTGAGGACTGAGATGGAATGCCTCGTTTCTAGTAAAAAGGGTCTCCGGTTCTCTACACTCACCATACGAAATACAGCAGCATTAAGCTACTATTTCACGCTGGTATTCTGTGAGCGCGTGGTCCTTCCCCGGTCGAGCCAACCCATTCGTGCTACAACTATACTACTAATATAACTGCAGCATGGCTCTACCATGTATAAATTGCAGCTCAACGCTGTTGTATTTCTATGGTGAGGGTAGAGAACCGGAGATCCTTTTTACTGAAATTGAGGCATTACATCTTAGTCCTCAGAGGTGGCAACGCATCTGCATTATGATTATTTATTGAGGATAGATGTAGATATCTATGGGCCACAGTATCCACCATCATCAGGTAGACTATGTGCTCGTTTGCCACCCTTATACTATAAAAAAATACACTAAGATTTTCTCCTGTATCGTGGAGGCTGTTAACATACATAAATTACACAAGGGTAAATATCCAGACCCGGAAAAATTATTTTAGGCCATACCAATACTTGTTCCGTGCGGGATTCGAACCCGCGGCCCTCAACGCAGTAACTCATTGCTAAGTAATTGAGAATAAAAGTAATAAACGAGCGCACACCATGGTACTAAAATGTTATTGTCCATAGACATCTACATCCATTCTCAATTAAGAATTAAAATGCAGATGCGTTGTCACCCCTGAGGACTAAGATGGAATGCCTCGTTTTCAGTAAAAAGGGTCTCCGTTTCTCTACAAGTACCACACGAAATAGAACATCATTGAGTTCGAGAATCCGACCCGTTCGTGCTACAACCATAGAATAGTTGCGGCATGACTCTACCATGTAAAGTACCTTATAAACATCTATGGGTTGCGAAACCCATGTCAACGTTATACATGTTGTGAAAGTTTGTGAAAGTGTTTGCATGTCGGTTACTCTATTGCGTATAAACGGCTACACGGATTGAAATTAAATAATGCACATAGATGGATTTTTATATACATAAGCATAAGCACTCACTACTGTCACTGTCAGAGGGGTAGGCAGAGACTATAGACTTCCATTTGGCACGATCCTGACATACCTCTCGCGCCTCCTTCACATCCATATACCCACCTACGCATACATCCTCGTCGGTTATGGGTACTCCTAATTTGACTTCCTAATTTTTGTACCACGAAAAAAGCTTACTGTGGGAAATTAACAAGGCGTTCTTTTTTCCACACGAGCGGGATCTTTAGCAGAAACTAGCCACTTATAAAACGAACCTAGTCTTTAATTTGTTTTAATTATTATTGATTTATCACAGTCTATAAAAAGTCGACTGCAGGTGATTTTAGATTTTCTAGTTGTAATTAGGAAGACGCAGTAGCGTCCGCGTTGGGCAACAGCCCATCTCCTGCTTTTTTCCCCCTCCATCGACGCATACGACACTCACGGAATAGTATGGTGTTGTGTATATTCTTACCTGGTCAAAGTAAGTTAAATAAGTTTAATTGATAGAATCAGGCGTTAATTTGTGGAAATCCATTATAATAAAGATATTAATAGTTATTTCGCTACCTTCCGCTCAATTAAATTATATAATGAGATCTTAGCGGTTAGCCACCGTAGAGTGTACATCACCTGAAGATGCCTTCTGTAGAGACGAAACACGTGTCGTATTATCGTCGATGGTGTGTCTTTCCTAGGACAGTGGTGTTGGAAGTAGTGGTGTTGGGAGCAGTGGTGACGGGATTAGTGCACGCAATTGAGGGAGGGCGGGAGGTGCTCTTCAAACTAGGTAAGACACATCATTTAATTGAGCGGCAGGTTGCAAAGTAACTATTAATATCTTTATTAAATAAGTTTATTTGCTGGGTACAGAAATTCTCCCATTTGTGTGAGAGTAATTAGGAAATCTATGGGGTAGTCTATGTTCAGGGGTGGTCTTTTGATAGGCTGCAAGGATGATGATGATGATTAACAATGAAAAACAACTATTACTTACCTCCATGTGAATACATACTCGATCGGTAAGTTTTCTGTTTTGATTTTATAGAATAAGGGTAACAAACGTGCAAAGAGTACACCTGATGGTAAGTGGTTTGCTGTGGCCCATAGACATCTACATTTATCCTCAATTAAGAATTAAAAATGAAGATGCGTTGTCACCCCTGAGGACTAAGATGGAATGCCTCATTTCCAGTAAAGAGGGTCACTGGTTCTCTACATTTATTTTATTTTAAAATCTTTATTGCATCCCCTTAGAAAAAAAAGGATACAAATGGCGGACTTAATGGGCATTCTCTACCAGTCAACCCATGGCGTGGTGAGAGTGAGAACCGCAGCAACATTAAGCTGCTATTTTACGCTGGTATTCTGTGAGAGCGTGTAAAAAAAGACCTCACCTGGCAGTCAAGACAGCGGCACGATTCACGATAGGTGCAGCTCGTGAGGGCGCTCTCGAGGTGTCGCAGATACTGTACATGCTCGGAGTCCAGGCGACGCTTGCGTCTCGCCAGCGAGGTAAGAAAACTCATAAGGGCTATGCGACGCGAGGGCTTCGTCTTCGGTGGTTCACTTTCAAAAAAGATGTTCATCATTCATCACTTCACAGTTCATCACTCCATTCACACACATATCATTCATAAGTTCCACTGTTGAACAAAGTACTCTCCCTAGGAATGCCACATATCCAGAAAGCACGGTCGTGCATCCAATGACAACCTGCATGTCGTCACTCCATCTAGAGGAGGGCTGCTCTACACTTCGTTAACCGGTACTAGCTTCGATCAAAAATAGCAACTAAAAGATGTCGGTACGGCGCAAGAAATCCACCTCAGTAAATAAGAGCGCACATGAGACGTGAGCTCTTGCACGTGAGAGTGTAGCTCGCAAGGCGATAACGAGAAAAAGAACTTTATTTGTTATAACTTAGGTTGATTTCACACTAAATGTTATTTAATTTATGTCTTTTCATAGTTTATATTCATGCGGACAGTATTTAGATATGATTTTGTACGTGACTCGTTATCTAGTTGGTATTGTTGACCGAAGGGTACGAGGCTGCAACTCGAGAACCTTTCTACCCCATCGGTAGTCAGTTCTTCAAGCTATGTGATTTTTTTATTATAGAATAAGAGTGATAAACGAGCACGCAGTCCACCTGATAGTATGTGGATGCTGTGGCTCATAAATATCTACATTTATATTGAGTTAAAGATCAAAATGCAGATGCGCTGTCACCCCTGCGGACCAAAATGGAATGCCTCATTTCCAGTAAAAAGAGTCTCCGGTTCTCTACACTCACCATATGAAACACAGCAGCATTAAGCTGCTACTTTACGCTGGTATTCTGTGAGAGGGTGGTCCTTCCCATTCGTACTGTAACAACAATACAGCTGCAGCATGCAAACCAGGCAAAAAATTACCCGGATATTATGGTAATCATAGATACCTATAAACAATTACAAAGTATCAGTAAGTTAGTGTAGCAATGGGTCGGCCTTCAAGTTCGTATAAGAAACGACAACCAATGAGACAAAAAGGTTCGCGAGTGGCAGCCTCGTATCGGTAAGCGAAGTAAAGGTCCACCTCTCATTAAATATAGAGACGAGATGGTAAGTTATGCAGGAAGCTGATGGATGATGATGGCTCACGACCGTGCTTTGTGGGATTCCTTGGGGAAGGTCTATGTTCAGCAGTGAACTTTAATGATGAAGATGATGATGATGATGATATAATTATAAACAATTAAGTAGCGTACACATACTACTAAGAAAATCAATAATATTTAATTTATTGAAATACTAGCTGTTCTCCCGCGTAGAATTTACTACGATTGGATTTGATGAGTTTTAATTGTTTTAAGTAAAAGTAAGGTAAGGTAAAAGTTCTAAGTTACTCTTTATAACATCAGCTATTTGTCAGTAATGGTCCCGTCCAAATCGGTACAATCATTTTGGAGATTACCCGGAACAAACAAACAGACAGACGAAAAATTTAAAAATTGTTTTTTTTTTTGTTATAAGTACCGTATATACTTTCTTCATATATGATTAGTAAAAAACTGTTATTTTGACATTATAAACACACACACTTCAATTTTATTTATAAGTATAAATTAATATTTCGCTCACTTACTTGTCTCCGACACTATTGAGCATGGCGGGTCTCATTTCCTCTTCACAAAGAGCAGCCTCGCTTTGGCGCCTCCTAGGGCGCCTCTTTACACCTACGCCGAGCTCTTGTTTCTCTTTCTCGTACGCAACTATAAAAACACTTTTAAAATTACCTTGTACTCGTATTCATTAATATCCCAAATGTAATTTTAATTTAAATGGATTACAGTTGTAGAGTCACGTTACATTTATATTCGCCGACCTATTCGTGCAGCAGTCATGTGTCAATGTGGCTCTACGACATATAATACCTTTTCAAAATGGCCGGCAACGAACTTGCATTTCCTCTGATGCAGTAGATTACAGTGGTAGAGTCACGCTACATCTATATTCGCCGACCTATTCGCACAACAGTCATGGGTCAATGTGACTCTACCATATATAATACCTTTTCAAAATGGCCGGCAACGAACTTTCGTTGCATTTCCTCTGATTTAGTAGGTTACAGTGGTTGTGTCACGCTACATCTATATTCGCCGACCTATTCGTGCAGCAGTAATGTGTCAATGTGGCTCTACCATATATAATACCTTTTCAAAATGGCCGGCAACGAACTTGCATTTCCTCTGATATAGTAGATTACAGTGGTTGTGTCACGCTACATCTATATTCTCCGACCTATTCGTGCAGCAGTAATGTGTCAATGTGGCTCTACCATATATAATACCTTTTCAAAATGGCCGGCAACAAAATTGCATTTCCTCTGATGTAGTAGGTTACAGTGGTTGTGTCACGCTACATCTATATTCGCCGACCTATTCGTGCAGCAGTAATGTGTCAATGTGGCTCTACCATATATAATAGCTTTTCAAAATGGCCGGCAACGAACTTGCATTTCCTCTGATGTAGTAGGTTCCAGTGGTTGTGTCACGCTACATCTATATTCACCGACCTATTCGTGCAGCAGTAATGTATCAATGTGGCTCTACCATATATAATACCTTTTCAAAATGACCGGCAACGAACTTGCATTTCCTCTGATGTAGTAGGTCACAGTGGTTGTGTCATGCTACATCTATATTCGCCGACCTATTCGTGCAGCAGTAATGTGTCAATGTGGCTCTACCATATATAATACCTTTTCAAAATGGCCAGCAACGAACTTGTATTTCCTCTGATGTAGTAGGTTACAGTGGTTGTGTCACCTTACATCTATATTCGCCGACCTATTCGTGTAGCAGTCATGTGTCAATGTGGCTCTACCATATATAATACCTTTTCAAAATGGCCGGCAACGAACTTGCATTTCCTCTGATGCAGTAGATTACAGTGGTAGAGTCACGCTACATCTATATTCACCGACCTATTCGTACAGCAGTCATGTGTCAATGTGACTCTACCATATATAATACCTTTTCAAAATGGCCGGCAACGAACTTACATTTCCTCTGGTGTAGTCAATGATATTATTGGGTGTAGTAGATTACAGTGATTGTGTCACGCTACATCTATATTCGCCAACCTATACGTGCAGCAGTAATGTGTCAATGTGGTTCTACCATATATAATACCTTTTCGAAATGGCCGGCAACGAACTTGCATTTCCTCTGATGTAATAGGTTACAGTGGTTGTGTCACGCTACATCTATATTCGCTGACCTATTCGTGCAGCAGTCATGTGTCAACGTGGCTCTACCATATATTATTACCCTTTCAAAATGGCCGGCAACGAACTTGCAATTTCCTGTGATGTAGTAGATTACAGTGGTAGAGTCACGCTACATCTATATTCATTGACCTTTTCGTACAGCAGTCATGTGTCAATGTGGCTCTACCATAAATAATACCTTTTCAAAATGGCCGGCAACGAACTTGCATTTCCTCTGGTATAGTAGATATTCATAAGCAGTGGTATTCATTAGTCAATAGGTATAGCCGTACGTTTGATTGCTCACCCTTCTATAAAAATATAGAGAAATTAAATACCAGTAACATCCTCCTCATAATTCCAATTCCTCCGATCTCCAGCTTCCTCCGCTGCTGTAGTGGTCTGCGCCTTCGGCCACAACTCCTGTACCGAGGTCGAATTCTGGTATATGGTTTCCGTTGACGTATTTCCATTCTCAGAATCAAATCTAGACTCAGGCTGGTCTAACACCTGTTGAAAAACATAGAATGGAATAGAATATAACATTTCAATTAACATAATCTATATACACACAAGTAATATATATTGATACTATAATAAAAAGATTTATGATGCTGCAAGGCTGTGGCCTATAGACATTTGCATTTATCATCGATATAGAATCAAAATGACGTGTCCAATAAGGTCTCCGATTCTCCTTACTCACCATACGAAACACAACAGCATTAACCTGCAATTTTACGCTGGTATACAGTGAAAGTGTGGTGCTATCCCGGTTGAGCCGACCCATTCGTGCTACAACTATAATACAGAAGCAGCATGACTCTACCACGTAGAGCTATGTTATAAGTGCAGCATTTTTATTGTCTTTGCTTTTATGGGTTCAAATTTTGCTGCCTTCCTAATTCTGCCACCGTCAGTCCAGGCCTTACCGACTAATGCCTACATCAGCTGTTGCTAGTGAGTATCAAAAAGGTAAACCACAAGAGTAAGCCATAGTAAGGTAATTCGTACGCTTGACGAACAAAATGTTTAGGTGCCATTTGAAACCAGTCAACACACGGTAGTGTCGTAGCCTCGTAGCAGACTCTACCCGCTGCTCCTTTTTCTTCTTTGCCCAACAGTAGGACGTTATATTAGCTGAGGACGTCACTTGCTTGCCATTTTATAAAATAATTTTTTATCTGTATGTCTTTCCGGCTATCTTCGTAATGGCTGAACTTTTAAATGAAACTACGTAATTAAACTTCACGAACAGATAAAAAGCAACACCAGGAGTGATCAAGGCTGTATTTTATCCGAAACATTTAGACATTTAGAAAGAAAGAAATGTTGATAAAATAAATTATTGTTTTTGATTATGTTAAATTTTATTTGTGGTAGAGCCACGCTGCAGTTATATAATGGCTGCAGCACGAATGGATCGGCTCGACCGGGGCAGGACCACATTCTCACAAAATACCAGCGTAAAATAGCAGCTTAATGCAGCTGTGTTTCGTATAGTGAGTGTAGAGAACCGGAGACCAATTTTACTGGATACGAGGCATACAGTCTTACTCCTCAGGGGTGACAACGCATCTGTATTTTGATTCTCAATCGAGGATAAACGTAGATGTCTATGGGCCACAGCGTTGACTTACCATCAAGTGGACTGTGTGCTCGTTTGTCACCTCACCCCTAATCATCACAGTCTATAAAAGTCGACTGCTGAACATAGGCCTCCCCCATAGATTGCCTCATAGGGGGATTTTGCCATAGTTGACACTATAGCAAAGCAAGCAAGCAAGCAAGGTTTTTTTTTATATAGGATAGGGTGACAAACTAGCACACAGTCCACCTGATGGTAAATGGTTGCTACGACCCATAGACATCTACATCTATCCTCGATTACAAATCAAAATGCAGATGCGTTGTCACCCGTGAGGACTAAGATGGAATGCCTCGTTTCCAGTAAAAAGGGTATCCGGTTCTCTATTAAACACAGCAGCTACGCTATTTTACGCGTGGTCCTTCCCCGGTCAAGCCGACCCATTCGTGCTACAACTATACTAGGTACTAATATAACTGCAGCATGGCTCCACCACGTATAAAGATTTTGAAATATTTACGTTTACGTACGTAAATATTTACGTTATGTTACGTTTTTTAAATATTTTGAGTTGTTATCAGGAAGATGATGGTGCCCAACACCTGTTTCAATTTCCCTCTTTAGCCTCTTACGACACCCACGGGATGATATAAATAGATCTCTAGATATAAATAGAATAACATAAATAGATCTCTAGATATAAATAGAATAACATAAATAAATCTTAACCAGGCAGGTCGCTAGTTTTATTAACAAAATTTACATTACCTGTGATTATTTCACATAAGTGGAACCAATTATAAAGTACCTGATAATGGGCCCGCGTCCCCAAGAAAAAGACTGCTCCTGAACTTCCTGAAGTCATTTCTCAATCTGTGGAATAAAGACCAACAACATAAATTATTGTATTACTATATATTGTATAATAATAATCATTCTTGTTTTTTTTTCGTTCAGTTCTCATTTACCTATCTACTTATTGAATATAAAATTTAAATAATTAATTATTATTATGAGCACTTTAATAAAATACATAAAAAATAGTTAATTCAAGTCACAAAGTTAGATAATTCGTTTATTTTATATAACATTCTTATAATTTAGCAAATCTTAAATGCACATACCTTAAAGTTATATTTTCTTCGTTAAATTTAATATTAACTAATTGATAATATTTCTTTTTTAGTAATAAAATCCATCAGAGCATTTTTACAACCTCTTGATGTTTGGAGCGTGTTTATTTGACATAATCGAGGCATGCGCAGAAGAAAATTACCGCAGGATTACAAAGGGGTTTCTATTCTGTTAAAAATATGTAATTATTTTACTCTATTGGGTGACTGGTATAAAATGGAATAAAAGGTATTTTTGCACTTGGAACTTTTTAAGGGAAGTATAAAAAAATGGAATATCTTATTATTTCAAGAATGTTTTCAAGTTAGCGATGTGTTTTAGAGTTCGTTGGATGTGAAGTATATTCCCCTGGGTCGTTTCAACACGCAATTATTTACAACGGGCTTATAAAAGTTGGATAGGGGAAGTGCTATAAAATTCTTGTAGATTCCGGTAGATGGCATGATAAAAACTTCGTAACATGCTACTCTATATAGATATTTTAAATACAAGAGGGAACTCAGTTTAATGACGCATTGGAATTCGAAGAGATAAAATAAGTATATAATAAAAAGACTGGTCAGAGACAATAATAGCACATAACTTTCAGGTTCAAAATTTTTCAAATGTGCCTGTATATTCACTCATTAAAACATAAGTCACCGAAAACCAGGCAAATGGCGCGACCGGCAATGATGAATTATGAATGAAAATTAAATAATGAAAGCATAATAATGCTTTCATTATTTCATTTTGAAACCAGAAAGTTATGTGCTATAAAGCGAAAATTAAAAATTGTTATTTTATTTTATTAGGTAGTAGGACTGTTTTTAGCCTAATGGCAATATAATAGAATAATTTTTGTTCAATATTTATTACATGTAATTGTTATTGTTTACTTTTACTACTGGCTCGGAAAAATAGTGGAAAAAATAACGGAAAATAATAAAAATAGTCCCAGCTGGACTTTTTTTTTAAAAGCATAGCTTACAATATTTATATAATTGTTATGAAAACATTTAGAAACAGCATGGTAACGACAATCTCATTACCAGGAATCATTATCAATCATCTGGAAGTTGAGTGTAGAGTCAAAATACCATCGGGTCATGAGACTTTTCAGCTTATTCCTCAGAGTGACCTCAGTTGGTTGCAGCGTCCATATACGCTGCAGTAGTCGCTCATAATGAGTTAAATTGCCAGCTTGTATCTGACTAGTAGAAAAGTCAGTTATACACTTACACTTAGATAAAAATATTTACAATAAATATTAAATCAACACTTTCTATTTTTAAGTATTAATAATAAATATACTGTTCAGACTATCCAGAGAACTAAATAATATGGACTTATTATTGAAAGAATGTAAAAGAATATCAACCTAAACACATACACTCATCAAAAAAGGAGTCAAATCTACCACACATAGGTGCTGTTAGCAGTTCATTGCAGTTCCAAGCATTCGTCATTCTACAGCGTCGCAGGTAATCAAAGTACAGTCTAGCAATTTCTTCTAGTCGACAGAATGGCAAATGTTGAAGGTTAGGATCTTATGTGACATGTGATAAGGTCTAATATAGGTGTGCAGCGCATATTAGTGGTAGCGGCTGCGCAGTACCGCTTTACCGAGTGGTACCGGACTCCCCGACGGAGTTTTTGGTGCGGTTGCTTATATGCTACCTTTTGCAAAAACACTGTAAGCGCGATTGAGGAACTGTAGAGTAACCAAAAACTAGAGACTGCGTTTGCGAAAAATGATGAAATATACAATTTAAGTACATTATAATAAATTTATCTAAACTGCATTTTGAATTATAATCAACATGTTACAAATAGTTTGTAGTTAACTTTCGTACTTGTATTCGTTATTACAATCGAAATATTATTACTAAAAAACAATTTAAGGAGTTAGACGTTAAAAACACCAGATTTTGTAAACTGTGTCTGAAAGTAATGATTATAATTATATAAACAAGTGGTAAAATAAAAAATTGTACAACTGACTTATATTACTGCAAGTTATGTTAATAGTATAATTGTAACAGAATACGAGCGCCAAAAAGTAGCTTAATGCTGCTATGTTTCGTATGGTGAGTGTAGAGAACCGGAGACCCTTTTTACTGGAAACGAGGCATTCCATCTTGGTCCTCACGGGTGACAACGCATCTGCATTTTGATTCGTAATCGAGGATAGATGTAGATGTCTATAGGTCACAGCAACCACTTACCATCAGGTGAACTGTGTGCTCGTTTGTCATCCTATCCTATAAAAAATATAAATAAAATGCGAACGTCATCAATGTAGTCAAAGTCAATTAAATACGCATTATTGAGTATAATCAAAAACCACTAGTCAGATCTTGATCAAATTTATGTGAGACCACACGAGAAATACCAGCTTTCAAATAAAAAAAGAACCATCAACAAAATCACACTGAAAAAAGTTCTGAGGTAACACACATAAAAAAACATGCAGTCGAATTGAACACCTTCTCCTTTTTGAAGTCGGTAAAAATTTAATATGTATGTATTGTGGATAGTTCAAAATATACCAGAATACTTGCTATGACAATTTTGAGACAGTATTTCTTTATACTACTATTGATATTTTCAATAATTTTTCAATTATGCTTGTGGAATTATTGAACCAACTTAATAAACGGTACTGATGTGTTAAAGCCAAGCAATTGCTGTAGAATCAAACATTACACCAGAGGGCGGAATCAACTAATTGATATCGTGTGGTACATATTTAAATACAATAAAGATCGAAAGTAAGGAACGATAGAAAGGTTTTTAAGTCTTCATTAATACACTACATTAAAAAGAGACAACGAGAGGAAAATAAAACTGTGTTTTATTATGCCTTTATCAGACGTGAATAATGAATATAAGCCTTTAACATTATTTGAATTCTCTGTTACAAATTACTCTGTTGCAATTTAATGCACTGGAGAGGGGTGAGATAGTAATCTGGTTTTCTTTGTACTGTTGTTAAGGTTGAGCACCTTTATATATACTTACTGAGGCTTGGATATAATAACGTTGCTGTTATATAACTATATAGGTCACTCAATAAGTTTTGAGATGCTCGAAATTTAAAAATGGAACGCACGTGTGTTATATGTTTCTAAAAAGCAAATTTATTTAAAAATTGAACTCCTTAAGCCAATTGCTCAATATTAAAAAAAAAACAAAGTTCTATTAATTTACCGGCAACGCCTCCCGCGCTTTTCATTTAAAACGATGGTCAGATCAATAATGGTATAAGTGTTTTCAGAGTTGGTTTAGGCGAATGGAACTTTGTATAGAGCATAATGGAGAATATTTTGAAAAGATGTAAAATAAATGTTAATAGTATCTGGAATACTTTTGTATACCTTAAAACTTATTGAGTATTCTACGTATTACGTGCTATATATTACCGTGTAGTGGCGGTGTTAGAATACCCACTACCCCGTATCATTCCGTGGGTGTCGTAAGAGGCGAGAAAGGGAAATAAATCTAGAGACGGTCAACAGTGTAATAAATAAATAATAAGGGTATTAAATAATTGCGACTAAAAATAAAACAAACTGCTGTCTTCACCCCGCTTGCCAAGCGTGGCAACAATAGCAAATATCCCCTCTACGAGGTAATCTCATACGTGGTAGAGCTACGCTGCAGCTATACGTATATTATAGTTGTAGCACAAACGAGTCGGCTTGACCGGGGCAGGACCATACTCTCACAGAATACCAGCGGAAAATAACAGCGCAATGGTACTGTGTTTCGTATAGTGAGTGTAGAGAACCGGAGACACTTTTTTTATTGCAATAGAGGCATTCCATCTTGGTCCTCAGGAGTGACGACGCTTCTACATTATGACTTTTAATTGAAGTTAAATGTGGATGTCTATGGACCACAGCATCCACTTACCATCAGGTGGACTGTGGGTGTGGGTGTGCCCGTTTTTCACCCAATACTATAAAAAGTCTTTGGGGGAGGCCTATGTTCAGCAGTGGACTTCAATAGACTTAACGGTTTATAATTATAGTCGATTTCGATCGTAATAACAAATAATGGCGATTCAAGGGCGAAAGAACATCATCCGTTTGCTGAGGCGCGTACTAAATTACTCGACACCGAAAGCGACTCTACCTACTTAGAATAAAGCTAAATAAGGTCACTCGTTTTAATGTGACTAAATCACAAACGCTGGACCTAAAATCTGCCTAATAACTTTAAAAAAAAACTCGGAAATGCTTTCACTACGTGCAAATTGTGAGGGAAAAATAAAAATAATTACATAGGTATTTAAATAGTTTAATATTTGTTAGTATTGCCGAACGCCGTGTATTAGATTAATTGAATCTATTACCGGCATACCGCATTTCATCCCGTGGGTGTCTTAGAAGATCGTAGTCAAAAAGACCTCAGTTTAGTTAAACTCGGTTCAGTTCAGCGGAACCAAAACATATACTTCGTATAGTTCAACAGTGAACTAAAACCGAAACGTCGCTAATTCTATATAGTGCTTAATTCATGTTCCTTTTTACTCTTTCCTTTGTCTATTACTGAATAAAGACCACTTACAAATTAACTAATAGGGGGATATTTGCTATAGCTGCTACGCTGACAGGTAGTCAAACGCAATTTTTTTTATTATTTTGAGATTTTTAATAGAATAAGGGTGGCAAACGAACACACAGTCCACCAGATTGTAAGTGGATGATGTGGCATATAGACATCTACATTTATCCTCAATTAAGA